GTTCTAAGGACTTCAACACTTACCAACTCTAACCATCACAATAGCCCTTTGAAAAGGCACTGTTATCCCCATTTTATCAATGAGAAAACAGACACAGAGATATAGAACTTAACCAAATAGTAAATAGTAGAGCCAAGGATTTGAATCCAACCATTTTGGCTCTAGAATTACTGATTTTACCTAAACTACCTTATGCTTCATTTTACTGGCTCTCATATTCTTTTACTTTATACTACCTTTAGCTAACAGCTAGCAGGTATACTACAAGCATTAGCAGCTATTTGTAATATTAATTTATGTTAGTAGTCGAGAATTATAATCAAGATGTCTAGAATCACAATCAAGATGTCTCCAGAAAGATTTGTGATTCTCTAATGTTAAAAAAAATAGTTTTTTAATGAAAATGTGGTTCCTTAAGGTAACCCAGTTTAATATATGTATGATTTATTTGGTTTTTGGTTGATTCTTTTGATATAATTTCCTATAAAATATGAACTGTTTTATTTTCAAATAGAACTGAAATGTAGTCTACTACTGACAAAGTTTATGACCTCATAACTGCACTTAACTTAGAAGGAGAATATCAAAGAGAAATATCTTTAAGAAAAAATTAGGCTTGTCAGTATCCCTGACTACAGAGGATTAAGAGTATAGGGATTGATTAAAATTTGACCTTGGATGGAAAGATGATTTTATGAAGTCTGATTTCATTTTGGAGGCAGCTTAGAGATAGAGGCCAATGCATGGCTTTCCATAATGATTGGTGAAAAAAAATTTAGGTGGCTTGTGTACACACTGCCACATGTATCTGTTGTATGTTTATGACTCCTCTTTATCATGAATGACACATTTTTATACAATAGAAATATAATGAGCACTATTAAAACAGTAATGTATCTTGAATTTTAATTGTGTATTTATATGATTGACTGAAAGCTAATGCCCAAGATGTTCTCTTCAAAATCTTCCTTTAGGAGAAATTTTATTTCACATATATTTGGTATCATATCCTATATAAGTATTTTGTGTTTCTGAGGAATAGTGTATATACACACAATGACTACCAAAGTAACTGGACAATCAGATGACTTGATAGCTGTAATTTATGAAGAGCCTGCTGATGAGACTCTAGAGTAGAGGCATTCTTTTTCATGAAAGCAGCTAAAATTACATTAATGTACATATGGGAAAGTGAAGATTGTTGAGTCCAGAAGCTGGAATCCTTTTCTACCCATATCTTTTTATTTGGAAAATTTTGAACTAAATTATTCTCTTTATTCTCTATTGTTTATGCTATTCACCATCAATGAATATTGCTTGTTTTATTAAATCTTTTGTTTTGCTGCAGTGACTTGAGGGGGCCAGCTCCTAACAACAGAGGCTTTGACAAAGCACCAGAGGATTCTGTTAAAAAGTTGTGTTTCGTAATTGTAGTTGTCGTGTCAGAGCCTAACTGACTTGGAGCTGAAGGATTTTTGTGAGATGAGTAGCTGTGCCAGCAGGGACCCAAGTCTCCTGGGCTGGCCGCGCTCTCATTAAGATTTGCCGCTAGCAGTGGCGGTGTTCAGCATGTATGTGACGTGCATTCTGTTATTGTATGCTTGGCTTGTCAGCCTGCAGCTTTCTGACACTCACTTATGTCACTCTTTATTCAGAGAGGAAGAAGCTTTTGATAATTTGACAAGACAAGCTCTTAAACGATCTAGGTCATGGCCTTCACTGTCTGTGATTGTGAACATATTTCCTGAAAGCCCTGTCACTCATCACAGCTACATTTTCTCCCGGGGAGCCACAGGCCTGTCCTGGTCTCTTGTCAGCTCAAACATTTTGGTTATTCATATACCAAATACAGTATTGGGGTTGTTTTTTTTTTCTTCCCTTTTGCAAATGCTAGCATGTTAGTAAGGCTAATCCTTTCTCCTGTGCTGTGTTCCCAGCAGGGCTGCGTTCAAGGGCTCTCTCTAGTACAAGGCAGACAACTGGCCAAGGGGAGCTGAGGAGGAGGAAAGGCCGCTTAGTGCTGTTTTTGTGTTTGTTCATTGTTGTGGAAATATGAGAACTGGTGGCAAGGGCCTTGTCTATTGAGCACTTGAGTCTTGGTCTGCTGTCAGGGACTGTTTAAGATTGAGTGTTTTATTTTCTTTGATGTTCACATTTGAGAATAGGGAAGTGGGAATTAAACAACAGATGCACTAAGCCGTTGTTCTGGTAAAACAATAATTAGCACCTGATAAAATTCAATATGGATCGAAATGCACAATATCAACTTAATTCATCTGGTGTGGCAAACAGTGTTGATTCATCTTTGAATTTTATGAATAATAACACAGTTATTCATGTAGGGTTTATTATACAAAATACAATAGAGGGGAAAACTAGTTGGGCAAAAGTTGGCAAACAGTGTAGCACATTGCTAAAACAGATGTACAAGTATACTTTGTATGTTTTCAGTGGCGAGGCTTGAGAAGGCCCTTTGGGTTGCCATCCATCTAAGTGCCAGTAAGGTGAGATCACCAGGACAACCAATAAATACAATTGTATTTTAAGAATTTATTACATTTTCATCTTAGGTGAGTTCCACAGTGGACTAGTCATTCATTTTAAATATTTTAAAATAATCTTTTAAGTTTAATTTGTAATAGTAATCCTGTTATAGAAATTATTTTGTCTAAATTTTTCAAGCAGTAGATACATACATATAAATACTATGGCATTCTATTTGATAAAAGATATAGATAGATATAGATAGATAGATAGATAGATAGATAGATAGATAGATAGATATGCAAAAACTGAGGAATGGTAAAAGAAGTAGAAGCCACAGCAAAAAAAATAATAATAATAACATTTAAAAAATTCATTACTGATACAGTTATATGTCATTTTTTAGAAATAAAGATATGTACTTTATATTGGCACTTATTATGAAGGAGAAAATAATTTAGCTCTTTTTAACCTCACATAGAAATATATTATACAGAAAGTAGTAAAATGGAACTATGCATGGGAATGTTGAATAAAAGTACTTGTGAGTTAGTCAAGTAGGATTTTTAAAAATTTCAATACTATTGTCTAATAAGAGAAAAGAATTTCACATCTCTCACTACTAATTTTTTATATTAGCCATCATCTTCATGTACAGAGCAATCAGATGATTCAAAAACCAAGTAATTCTTTCTTTTATTTCTAAATTGCTGCAACACAAGGAAAGGTCACATGGTAGAGTGGCATTCTGCCAGTGTATGACAACTCAGTGATTGCGATTTTTCAACCGTATTATTCTGAGGATACTGTGGTAATCAAGAACTATCCATAACTAATGTACAAATAACTGCTTGCTTATCTCTACAGTAATCCAACTCAAATTATATGTACACAGCAAAAAGCTTATGATAGAAGGTAGGAAATGAATATTTAAAGATATTGTACATTAGATGTGTGTGTGTGTGTATGTATATATATATGTATGTGTATGTATATATATGTGTATATATACACACATATATATATACATATATATATATATGAACTTTTGTAACCTATAGGTTTGCGGCTGTTACTTGCTACCTAACATGTTCTTTGCCTTCTGAAGCTTCTGTCTATTTTTTAAAACTAGTTTGCTTTTTATCAGTATTTTTCATCCATAAATCACTGTGTAAAAGTGACTTGACTAAGTTTGCATGAATATGACATTTAAACTGGAAAGCTGACCACTAAATGGTCTAATTTCCACATATTTATTTAGAAAATTACATAGGATAATAAAGCTTAAAAAGCATAATGGATAAAATATTCAGCATAGTTGGGACATATCTACTCTTTTTTTGTCAAATCACTTATGATGGTATAGTATGAATGATCTTTGTTAGTTTTATCACTACCCTGAAAAATAAATGAGACAGGAATAACCAGATAAAGAATTGTTTCAAAGTATGTGTCAAAGATTATAAAGATTTTAAAAAGATTTAAGATTTAAGTCATTCTCATTTAGGCATGCATATGTGTATATACATATACAATTTTAACAAAAGCTATAGATTCACATTTACTTTAAGAATTGCCATTTACTTAGTTGGTGGTTTAACTTATTAAAACCATTACTATAATGTAGTTATTATTTAAAAAATACTTTGTCATCAACAGTTCTTTTTCTGAGAAGGTGTTAAACCCATCAACTATTCATAAAGATCTTGGTTAGGAAAAATGTCTCTCTTTAACAGAGCCATAATTCAGATACAAGGAAAGAAGATTTATATTTGTATCCATAAGAAAATATCTACTAAATGGTTTTTATTGTTGCTGCTATTGTTGTTTGTTTTGTTTTGTTGTTACCTATTCTGGTTTTAGTAAATCCATCTTTTACAAAATTATTGAAGGTCTCTTGGGTTTTTAACGTTATAGCTTTATAAATGTAAAGATGGAGAAGGCGCAACTTTTAAAGGAAAAGACATGGACTTTATATTCTTGAGATTTTGTTCTGTTTTAATTCTCTTTTTCTCTATGTCATAGAAGAGTGAAAATTAGAAAGTGATTAGGCAAAAAGATGGCCACAGACATCAAATACATAGCCAGAGTGAAGTCTTCTTAAAAGCAGTTGCTATTAAATTGTTTTCTATCATACTACCAAGGTTCAAAATGTTCTATTAAAAGGTGTACTTGGTGAGTCTTATTGATTTTGATCACTGCTGTTCATTTATCAATTTAACTGAGCTATGGCTCTTAATTCACATCCTAGTGCCCAAAACTTCTAACCCAAAAAGGAAAAAAAAGAGAGAAAACTTTGTTACTGGCTTTCTGACAATGGCAGGGAGTGTGTTAAACCAGTGTAAAATTCAATTAAACTGTCTAGCCAGGTTTTTGAAGCTGAAATGCAGACCCTTTCTGTTAAGCTTCTTATTTTCCTGTGACCGACACCGGTGGATGCTGGGTTATGCCAAAACCAACAGGCTGTAAAGTACCTTGTTTCATGCTCCCAGCTGATCAATATTTTTATTTTTCAGGCTTGCCCAGAAATCTGGAGGCAGTATCACCTAACGGTGAGTAGAAACACCTTTTATATTTTCCCCAAGACCTAGCCTATTTACCCTTCTCTGAACTGCTGACCATAAAATATAGACAAGCATCTTCTACTGGAAGATAATAAACATCTGTAGAGTTTTTGCACTGAGGGAATAATAATATACTTTTTCTCTTCTCCCCTGCCCACTACTCTATCCTTTATCTTCCTCTTCTTGATTGTTTTTTTATTACTCACTTCATTTCATGATTATATCATGGTATCTCTCAGTCTTCCCACACTAGATTCAAACTAAAAAGGAAAAAGTATGCTAGGAGCCATAAAAAATAATAGTAATCCAGTGCCTAATATATTGTATTACCTACAGTCCACAAGCATACAGTCCACAGTATCTTCCGTTATCAATTTTCTGGCTTTACTGAAATATTTACATATATATTTTTAATAAAGCTAGACAAAGCTTAGTGTATCTTTCATACAGACCGATTCAACTATCATATCCTTAAGCCCCTCTTGACTTATTTAACATGTATAAATATCTGCTTAATACCGCTCCAGTTACTCAATTCTCTGCTTTCCTTTTATTATGATTTTAGGCTAAGTAGAAGCAGAAAACATAGTTTATTATGGAATCAGTTGACTAATGCTCAGTTTTGTGAAGTCAGTTTATTTCTAATATTCAGCTTAAATAATTTTGAGAATTCACCATAGCCCTACTAGTCATTTCTTTTAATGTATTAAATACGTTGTGCTGAGCAAGAGACAACAATAAAAATTACTCTTGTAATTATACAGTTATACAATGTAATTAAAAGCTGTTTTCTTAAAGTTTAACATATTACAAAGTTTTCTTTATGAAAGATAGGTAGTAAAAATAGAAAGGGCAAGATTTTTATAAAACATGTCTTCTTGCTGCTCTCTTGTTTTGGAAATAAAGGCAAATCAATAAGTAGACTTACACTACCAGTATGTCTACTATAGAGCCAAGAAGCAAAGAATAATATCAGGTAGTTTGTTTCTACATTCTGTTATCACTGTTTAATTTATTTAAAGATTCTTAGTAGAACACTGCAATTCCTCAACTATCCCTCAATCCCAGAATGGGTTTTCTAAAAATATTTACTGTAAAACCAAGACACATATATTTTACCAGGTGTAACTTACATGGATACAGTATAACTGTGTTTTTTACCCTAACATACCATGGTGGAATCCTTATAACCTAAACTTGATTGGAATCCAACCATATATTTATTATACTTTCAAGATCGCAGTCACTCTTTGTATAGCATTTTTATCACCATTTTTATTTAGTAATAGTCTAATGGACTTGACATTGCATTTCTTTTCCATTTTCCCCTAAATTAGAGAATTCCAATTGAAAACTCGAAGTGTCGGCAGTACTATTTTAAAGCCATTCTTTTCATTATTTGCTCCTATATTCTTTTAATAACTCTCATAGAAGACTAGAAATTGGTGCTTAATATAACAAATATTTGAAGGTTTGTTTAAAGGTTAGCTTTTAAAAAACATAAAAAGAATCATTAGAAAAAAATGGTAAAGCAAAATGAATTAAGTTGGAGGGAATAGCAATATATTCTATCTATAGGTATAACAAATCATTTTGAAAAATCTGTCTCAACCTAGAATCTTGATTTATTTTCAAAATAATATTGTGGCAACTTTCAGAATTCATAATTATTAAGTCTAAATTAATAATTAGAAATAGTTTACTATGCAAGTATAAATATAAAATTTATATAATCTTAAATATGTATACATATATATATCAATCCATCTAAAATAACAGTTAAATAATTATGTATATAGGAAATATCCAAATGTGTGCAATTAGGCAATATTTAATCTTGAATAAAAGTAGAATGTGTGGTGAGTCTAGTCATCTTCAGCTCTTTTACTAGGCGATGGACTGCCATCTATTGACTCATAGTAGCCCTCACACGCAAATGTGGCATCAATCAGAGAGCAATGACCAAGTAATGAAGCCTAGGTTAAAATTGCTGCTGTATATTGATTTAAACCGGTCTTCTTAAAACTCTGGACATTTCTACACTTAATAATTGGTTAATTTCTTTTTCTAACCAAAAAGAGTCCATTTCTCACCCAAAATGAACTCTGCTTTTTGGAGGGAGAAATTGATTAGTATACTCAGTTTGGAAATGTTTATTTACACTTGAGAACTTTTCATTTGCTTTTATCTGCCTTCCAATCAAGAAGACTAGAAGGATATTTACACAACCTAAAGTTTAACAAATATAATTTAAGGTCTATCCAGGAGTCACTTTCTTTAAAAATAATTTTTATAAAGCCTAGGTTAAATCGAGTATTATTTTTCAAATACATAAGAAAGGTGGTGAAGTTCATTGGTATAAGTGGACTTGTGAAATATTCCAAATCAAAAATTTCTTAAAACACATTCTAAAAGAAGAATACTAAAGAAAAGACATGTTCACTACTCTCAACAATTTCATGAGAGATCAAATAAAACCTCCTTAACAACTTGTATCTGAATAGAATAGCTCTTTAACCAACTTGACTAGATTTCACTACATTAATAAAAACTAAGACCATTGTTCGAAAGGGTACATGCTAATAAAACTCTAAAACACTGCCTATATATCTATATAGATGTATTTACAGATATGCTATTTGGCTGTGCCATTTTTCTTAATGTATTTTAATAGCTATAAAATTATCATATAATTTAAGGACTTTATCACTTTGGAGACCTGAATAGGAAAAAGAAAGAGTTTTTACTTAGCAATTAAATAATTTTTCTAAGTAGTTTATGTATTTACCTCCTTCAAAATATTTAAAAAGTTTTTAAAAGCTTCAGTAATATAGCGCTGTTCTTGAATTTTAATGTATTATATTTTCAAATTTTGGTAATGCTTGACTTTGAATATTCTTTTTCCTCTTTAAGATAACTCATTCTAGATAAAAATTTCCCCCTTAAACTATTCAAGAAGGAAAGTCCCTTCCCCCACCCCCTGTCACTTCTAGTCTCATTTATATTAAAAATCCTAGGCCAAAATGGCCACCAACAGAGTTTTACAACCAACACAATTTTTAACCAGTAGAGACTATAATTTGACATGCTTTGGACATTTTGTTAATCTTCATTTTAATCTACTTAAAAAAGTAACTAGGAATTTGCTATTTGGGGGCTGTATGTGTTAAGAACCAAAAAGGACAATACATCTTTTATGTTTAATTTTGCCCTTGGATTTCTTTGTGTGCATTATTAAAATGTGTTACAACCTGCTACCTTTTATTTTAACTAAAAGTTTAAACAAAAGCAAATGTAACCTTTTAGGAAGAATTATATTTGAAATGTTTGTATATAATGTTTGGAATGCCTACAATTCACACTTCAAAAAGTAAAATACTTGCTGTCAGGGAAACAGGGAGTAAAGTTGCCTTGCTTTTCTTTCTAGCCTAGAAAAGGCTTGTGACCAGAGGTTACTAGCAATTAATAGTAGTCTTACCTGAACTAGTGGAATGCCAGAGTGTATCTAATGGAACATAATTAAAAATATCACTTATTTTGCCACTCAGTTTACTCTCCTTACCTGGCAACATCAATTTAGAAATGTTTTCTGCGTTTTCACAGTATGGAAATGAGATTTTTACTGTAAATGAGACTGTTATTCTCTAAAGCATCCTATGCTATACCACTGAGTAGGTAACCCTAAATGTCAACAGATTTAAATTTAACTTTAGAACTATGTTTTATTGTCCAAAAGAAAGGAATAAAAAAGAGTAATTTGATTGTGAAACAATAGCTGTACAAAAGTTATGATCCTGCGATTATCATGATGTAAGATAGAGTGGGTAACAATTTTCTAGTTGCCTAATGCTAAAATGGAGTTTTTTAACAAATTAAAATGTAAACTCAAGAGTTTCAAAAAGTCATTCTCAAGTCAGGATATTTTCTTTTCATGGAAAAAAGAAAACTCTTTCTTAATTGGATATATGTTGGGAATTCTAAATTTTCTGAGAGCTCCTTGGCTATGTAAACAGAACTGCAAAACACAAGAACTCCATCTACATGGTAGATATTAAGTGATAGGTCTCCCGTGTGTGTAAGAAAATAGAACTGGTTACATACTGTATTTTAAAATGTTAAATGACTCCAAAATAGAATGAGAACTAGGCCTCACTCTGTTTTGGAATTATTTAAGTCAACTTTTTCTTTGTGTCATTTTTTGAGGCCTGGTATACAGATTATCCTAAAGTAACAGTTTTATAAATGTATTTATTTTGGTAGTTCACTTCACTTTGCCAACTTCCTCAAGACCCAGAAGTACTTTTGTTTAAATTGTAGTTTTTTTCTCTATATCTGACATCACTATTTCAATGTTTTGATTGGTTAAGTGTTGCTATGAGATATTACATCTCTGTCAAATTTTCAGAGAATTAGTTTTCATTAAAAATACCCTTACTACGCCCAACTGGTATCACTCAGTGGTTGAGCGTCCACCCATACACCAGGAGGTCACCCATTCAATTCCTGGTCAGGGCACATGCCTGGGTTTTGGGCTTGATCCCCAGTGTGGGGCGTGCAGGAGGCAGCCAATCTATCTTTCTCTCTCATGGGTATTTCTATCTCTCTGTCCCTCCCCTTTCTCTCTCTCTAAAAATCAATAAAAACATATTTAAAAAAAAATACCATTAGTACTAAGACACTACTGAGGTGAATGTAATTGTGCTCTGATGGTTTAGAAGACACATGACCATTTTGTTGTACCTCAGGGCCATCTTTCCACTGTAGTACTACAAAATAAATAAGACTGCTTTATATTTAAAGTTACTTGGTGTCTGAATAAGAAGATTTTTCAATTAACCATTGATAATTTATTTTCTAATATTCCATCTGTGATAACACATAGAAAATACATTTGGACAGTGACTAAAATTTTTAAAGATTTTTCAAGTGGAATTTTATGCAAATAATTTATTTACCTGTTCTTAAAGAATTTAGGGTGATCGTTTTGC